GAAATGGTTTTAAGTAAGTAAATTAAATTATTAAAGATTTTAGAGTCAAATGTTTATTCTTAATATATATAGTAAAAAGTATACCTGGGTCGTTTTCAAAAAACACCCGCCTTCCGCTGTCCGTAAGTTTGAATTCCAATAACTTTGTTAAAAATTCTCGGATCTTATTGATTTAAAAACCAAGTGAAAGCCTAACAAGCCCTTAGTAAACTCTTTCAGAAAATGTTTGTTTAGTTATTTCAGAATATATTTTTTTAATTTTGAAACTTGTGAAACACATTTTCGCATGTCCCATTAGCGTTTTATAAAACTTACATACATGTTTTTTTTAATATTGAATAACCAGAACTTTGTGTTGCTTTATAGCAATCCATAACATCCTTAGTTAATAAAGTAAACAATTTATATATTAATGAATTAATTTTAATCTACTTTTTTTAAATTTGACTCATGTCCCAGACATTTTTTCCGTTGCGTTACGTCCGTCGCGTTACCGATAGAATATTTAAAAAAACATATATATATATATGTCAACTTTTTTGGCACTCACGTGATTAACAAATGATGTTCGGACGTACACATTACCCAGCTGAATTTATTTATTCAATCAGGAAGAAGATATCGGTTAAAACAGGTGCGGGTAACGCGAATGTAATAATGTCCGCTAAGTTACTCAAAAAAATAATAAAAAGAAGGTAAGAAAAAATACTATTTTTCATGTTTATGTTTATTTTAGCCTAAAATTTTTAGGGCACTAAAGCTCATTGAGAGTAATTAATGACTGTAATGTTTTGTTATTATTTTTTAAGTATGGTTTCACAAAACTTTGTCCACTGCGTTACCGAGTCCATTACGTTACCTTATGGTAACGCAATGGAATTTAGGGTAACGCAATATAATTTTTCGACAACAAAGTGGATATTTACTGTCGCTTTTATTAAAAGTAGTTTATGATAAACCAATTTAAAATTATTTGTGATTACAACTCATGATATAGATTACATCCAAGGGAAAATTCCACGCAATATACAAGTACTAAAACACACCAGCTTATAGTCAAAGAAAAAGGGTGTCTATAATTTCGAAATCTAAGTTGTTATTCTGCAAGTGAGCACCACTACAAGGGATTTTGTTTATGCATTACTCTAAAATCGTATCACCCTATAGGGTAATCAGATAACGTAAAAAAGAAACTATATATATATAGTTTCTTTTTTACGTTATCTGATTAAGTCCTTTGTGTATCCCAGTCCGTTGTGATACCAATGTATTTCGTTACTTTTTTTAGTTTTTCTCAAAAAAAATCCTTAAAATGATTTTACTATCACTTGGTAATACCTGTTTATAAATTAGAGTTTAACTCACTAATACAGTGACTATAGTCAAAAAAGTTGTTATAAAAATAATTTGTAATAAAATGTACTTAGTTCACAAACTTTTGACTCCAATTTTATTTTTTATTAAAAATTGTATGCATTTTTTAAATATTTATGTTAATTAAGTTACTTTTTAAAAGACACCATTCCGATTCTTTGTTAAAAAAACAATACCATTAATATTTTCTTATAAAAGAAAATATTAATGGTATTGTTTTTTTTAACAAAGAATCGGAATGGTATCTTTTAAAAAGTAACTTAATTAACATAAATATTTAAAAAATGCATACAATTTTTAATAAAAAATAAAATTAGAGTCAAAAGTTTGTGAACTAAGTACATTTTATTACAAATTATTTTTATAACAACTTTTTTTAATGAATTAAATTTTGGATTTCAAATTGGTAACACAGTGGAGACATATAAAGCTAGCTAAACACATTTTTCTAAAAAAAAACGTAAACAAAATTTAAAAGTGCCTGTCTTAAATGTAAGTAAACAAAACTCTAAACATTTATAAAAATCCAACCAAAATTCAATTTAAGCAAAAAAATTTTGATCTTCATTTTCCTAAAAGCGGGTGTTTCTTGAAAATGACCCACCTACATAAGTTAATTTTTGTTAAAATAATAAAAATTAACGAATTGAATGCACAATAAAGTTATAAAAACGCAATTTCGAAGAAATGCAGAACACAAACAATTCCAGGCAGTCGCTTTATGCAGATGATATAAAATTATATAATCCAGTAAACAGCATACAAGACTGTCTAAATCTACAAAATGACTTAAATGAACTATATGCATGGGGAAATAAAAATAAATTACAACTTAATGTTTCAAAAGCTTTTATATGTTTTTTACCGCAGAAAACAGGCGTAACAAAATTAATCATAAATATAAAATTGGAAACAGATCCCTTATGAATGTCAAATTTAGGCATTATTTTTGATAAAAAATTGATGTTTAACTATCATTTTGATAGCATAGTTAAAAGTTCGTATAGAATGATAGGTTTTATTTTTAGAAATACTAGAGATATGAATCCCAAGGTATTTAAATGTTTATTTCAAACTCTTGTAAGAACTAAATAGGAATACGGATGTATCATTCGGGACCCATATTATCAAAAATTAATTAACCTTATTGAAAAATGCCAAAATAAATTTCTAAAACTATATCATTTTATGCTAACTGGATCCTATCCATCTGATATTCCATGCTATGTCTTAAATCTTGAGTATGGTATAAATAGCTAACTCCCAAGTTTTTATTTATAAAATACTTAATTATTTACCTTTTAGATAGTCCTGATATTTTAAAACTTATTAATATAAAAGTACCTGATACAAGAAATACTCAAATTTTAAGCTACTCATGTACCAGAACAAATAGGCAAATAAATTCGCCTCTAGTCAAATGTTGTAGGATTATAAACCAAATAAACTGTGATATTTTTATTAATAATTTATATAAATTTAAAACAAATTTAAAAGAATTGTTGTTTGGTATTTAATATTAGTGGCATTATTAGTAATTGTTTGGAAGAAATAAATGAATAAATGAATAAATTGTCCAAAAAAATTTTCAAGAATCATCAACAGCTTTTTGCAAGAAAGATCACTGTTAGCACAATTGTGACTGTTAGTACAAATTGGACTAAAAACCACAAATGCATTTCCAGCAGAACAGGGAGTTCCACAAGGGTCCCCCCTTTCCCCTCTACTATACAATTTGTACTGCTCAGACATCGTCAACCTGCCTTCTATAGATATCAAAAGTTACATTCTACAATTTGCAGATGATACTGCTATAAATTATGTGTTATTATAGCCCACAATAACACATGAGAAAACAACAAAAAAATCCACGCAAATATTTCAAAAGGCACTAGAAAAAATGGAAACTTAAGATAAATCCTTTAAAATCTTAATTTATAATATTCAACGACACTCCCAAGCCCAATTCCCGAAGTCTGATTCTAAACAACACTCCAATCCTCCCAAAACAGCAATAAAATATCTTGGCATCCAACTTGACAACAAAATAAACCTGAAACAACACTCACAGATGACCAAGAAAAAATACAAGCAAGAGCAAAACATTTTAGAGCACTGACTTACAAAGAAGATGTGATAAACATGGATGCTGCCTGCAAAATATATAAAACTATTTGCAGGCCCATTTTAGAATATGCTTGGCCAATTTACTACACAGAAAAAAGGAAAAAAAAAGGAAACAGGAAGTTCCTTGACGCATTACTAGTATATTACCAGAGGTATTATTCCAGAAAATGGAACCTTCAACTCGCTAGAGATAATGTTTTTAGTGCGTTCCACTAACTTAAAATACTTCAAGAATTGAGAGCTGTTTCCACATATTTAAGGTATCTTTAGTATCGAACAACTTGTAGTGTCACACCAAAGCAAAGGATCACCTGAGTTTATATATTCTTCATGTAAGTCAACAGAAGCGAGATTTAAGAACATCACGTGATCCACACCGCCTTTGCCGCGATCGGTACACATTTTCAACCATAATTCATGGTGTTATATTAACACCACTTGGTGTTGGATTTTGACACCATTTTTAGATTACTTTTTACACCACAGATATTTTAAACAGTGTAGTGGGGACATTAAGAAATCATATTTCAGCTTAAGGAATGCATCGCTGCTTCCCTCATTTTCAAAAAGCGACATTTCTTTTTTTAGAGTTGATGTTACCCAATCGGTTTGAGGGTGCATTTTTATTGGGTCCATTGCCTTATTTGTCAATGATTTCTTAGTTTTAATTTGAGGCTGGAGCAGTAGCATGACTGAAATAGTAATTTCATCCTCGTCATCGTCTTCTTGAAAAGAAACATTTAGTTTTTTTGTAAACGTTTTCAAGCATTTCCTAATAATTTTTTTGTTTAGAATATTGAAAAGAGCATCTGATTCTTTATCATTGGGATTGTGCAAATTGCGGATAATACCTGAGCAATAAGTTCTGCGCTGAGCAATCCTTACCCTTAGGGATTCATATAAGTTGGCACTTAGGGAAGTGTTAACTTCTTAAACTTGTTTCAACATAAATTTAAATAATAAAAATACCGGGATCATGATTTGTGATCCCGGTATTTTCGGTATTGAAAAACCGACGAGATCCCGGTATTTTCGGTTTTGGGATTTCGGGATTGCGAACCCTAGTAAGAACACTGCCTTACAAGACATCCAGAAATTCAAACATCCCGAAAAGAAGTTACTTGAATTACTCAAATCATTTCTAGACTAAATTCTTTTTTGTTTCCTTTTCTATACTCAGTAAAATTAAAAAGCATTACCTTTGCCATTTTTATTGTTTAATATCAATTTAAAATTAAGCACATTTGGCTGAAGGGCCTCGGTCATTGGCCATTTAATCTTATGTTGTATGTATGTAAGGATTAATAAATACGTTATTCTATAAAGGTTGTTTCAAAGAACTGTATATTTTTCTTATTTTTGGGTGATGGGATATACCCTGTATACCTAGGGTATATTTAGCTTATTATTTTGAAAGACTAAAAAAACAAAAATAGTTACCGAATATTGTTTGCCTGCGAATTTTCGCAATGGGTGTTTCATTCCTTCGTATCGGCTACGTTAAATTTAAACCAAAAAGTAGGAGGCATAATTTATAAGTTGCTGGATTAAAATAGCCCGAGAAAATATGTGTGTTGACTCGGCGTAGCGTACCGGCCAGGCCTCAATTCAGTTAGTGTTGCTGCCTTCTTCAGTAAAACATGAGTGGGCCTTTTAAAAGAAGGGCGTCCCTTAAATCTTTGCCCAACGTGGGCCTGATGAAGCCGGGCGGCCGCAGGAAATCCTCCATAGCGGTCACCACGATGCCCACGTCGGAAATGGAGAAAGAATTACCATGGGACATGCTGGACCGTTGCTTGCTGCCCGTCATATTTTGCCATGCCGCCGCGATCGTTTTAAGTACAGTGCTAAACGTTCTCAACATATCGCAAGTGTCCACTTTGACCCTCTTTATATGGTTTACCATCACCACTATTGCCTCTGTATTGTTCTACCACAATCTTAAGGTAAGCGAGTTTGGTTTAGTGTAGACGGTGCTAAACAGTTTTTCTACCTGTCTGGGTTTGATCCTATATAATCAGGGGCGTGCTGGGCCGCCGGGACACCGGGAAAAATCCCGGTGGGCCGGTGGTCCGGAGGGCTAAGTGGGCCGGTGTGCCAGACGGCTATGTAGGCAGCATGCCGCAACACGTGGTCAATTTAATAATTTTTTAGTTGAGTTTTGTATAAATATCATAATTATTTTACACATACCATGCATGCCAGCCTGCCAGTTTTGATTCTTTTTTCGAGATTGTATATTGTTTATAAGTTTCCTGAGCGATGATAATTTGTATTAGTTTTTACTTTAAGTGCAATGCTATATGTTTTAGCATTGTGTAAAATATTGTCTGGTTGTGTTTGTTGCCTGTTTGTTTTTCAAGAATTTAATTTATACTTTATGTTATTAATTATTAATAAATCTTTGAAATTTTTTAACTTGGTTTCGTTCACCCCCCATTTTTCGTGTGTAGTTGGCCGGTTTTTCTGAATTTCCCGGGCCGGTCTGGTATAGCCAGCACGCCCCTGTATACAATCCACATCGGCTAAATAAATCCAATATTGGCCCCAGATAAAATATTGGGCATACACTGTTTAAAATATCTGTAATGTAAAAAGTAATCCTTAAATGGTGTCAAAATCCAACACCAAGTGGTGTTAATATAACACCATAAATTATGGTTGAAAATGAACACCAAAACGGTATTTATCTAAAAATATTTGAGAAGTGCATGCACCTACACAGAAAAAAAAGCATAGTTTATTTAACTATATTAATTTAGTTTACCCATAAGTATTTATTTTTTTGTGGATCACGTGATGTTCTTAAATCTCGCCTCTGTTGACTTACATGAAGAATATATAAGCTCAGGTAGTCCTTTGCTTTGGTGTGACACTACAAGTTATTCGATACTAGACCTTAAATAGGTGGAAACAGCTGTCAATACTTGAAGTATTTTAAGTTAATGGAACAAACTAAAAACATTATCTCTAGCGAGTTGAAGGTTCCATTTTCTGGAATAATACCACCGGTAATATACTAGTAATGCGTCAAGGAACTTCCTGTTTCCTTTTTTTTTCCTTTTTTCTGTGTAGTATTATTTAATTTGACCACAAACACATAATATGTAACACTGAAAAGGAATTCAATTTACACCAGGTAAAATTTATTTTAATACTGTGTGTAAGTTAAATTAACACCATTTTAGTATTTGAATTTACACCGGACCAACGAACCATATTTAACACCATTTTGGTTTGTATCGATATAGACCAAATGTGGTGTTAATTTGGTGTTAAAATGGTCATGAAATTTTGAACAGTGTAGACGCGCCCCAATAGGACCAATATATTGTGCTACTGGGGAACAGCCGAGTGGTGGCGTTACTAGCGATACTTCTTTAGCGTATTGTTATTTTAAATCGTATTTATGATTCATAAATTATGAATCTAGTCCTATATTAGCTGTCTTGATTTATTATATTTTAATAAGAAATGTTAGGGACGACTGACAAATGGCAGGGTGCCTTAATAGTATAATGACTAGGGTGATTCATTTCCGCAAAGTTTTTGTTTTTTTTTCGGTGCTCAAGCAAAATATTAATCTGCATATAGGAAAAAACATTCTCACCAAGTTTGAGCTCTTAATATTAATTTTAAGCACTTACTATTTAAATTTAAAGTTTTACCGTTTAAAATGCATGTAAAAAATATATTTTTTTTCAAATTTCTAATGCTTACCCACCTTTGATAATATTGCAAATCGGTTTAATACACCTTATGGGGAATTTCACGCTCTTTAAAATTGCTTTTGAGGTTTTTTTTGTAACTCGCATTGGTTCACCAGTAGGAGTCGTCAAAGGACAGTTTTTTAAATAAATCGTTTTTTTTTTTAATTTTTCGAGCAAATCGCCAAAAGTAGTGAGAAAAAAGGGCTGATTTATAAAAAAAAAGTTATCCAACCAATATTTAATGAATTTACTGCCATTTTTATAACTGCAGTTCATGAAAACGTAAGAAATTGATAAATACCAACCCATAATGTTATTTAGATTGATTTTTTCTATTTATTATCATTATATTTCCCTACACTAAGAACTTTTTTAAAATTATTATGATCATAATGAATATGAAAACAACACATAAATTCATAAAAAAACAACAAAACTTTAATCGGAATATATACAGAAGGTTATGTAACATATTTCAAATTTCGCTTCAAAAAATTAAATAATCTTCATTTATATTTTTTTGCTATATGACAGAAATGTTGAAAAATTGCAAAATCCACGTTACAATTTTCTTATTGTTTTTTTTATGAATTTATCTGTTGTTTTCATATTCATTATAAGTGAGAAATCAATAATTTTAAAAAACTTCTTAGTGTAGGGAAATATAATGATAATAAATAAAAAAAATCAATCTAAATAACATTATGAGTTGGTAATTATCAATTTCTTGCGTTTTCAGTTATAAAAATGGCTGTAAATTCATTAAATATTGGTTGGATAACTTTTTTTTATGATTCAGCCCTTTTTTCTCCCTACTTTTTGCGGTTTGTTAGAAAAAATTTAAAAAAAATGATTTTTTTCAAAAACTGTCCTTTGACGACTCCTACTGGTGAACCAATGCGAGTTACAAAAAAAAAACTCAAAAGCAATTTTAAAGAGCGTGAAATTCCCCATAAGGTGTATTAAACCGATTTGCAATATCGTCAAAGGTGGGTAAGCATTAGAAATTTGAAAAAAAATATATATTTTTAACATGCATTTTAAACGGTAAAACTTTAAATTTAAAAGTACTTAAAATTTATATTAAGAGCTCAAACTTGTTGAGAATTTTTTTTTCTATACGCAAATTAATATTTTGCAATAATGACCCATTGTATTTTTTATTAAATTTCGAAAAACTGATATATTTTTGGCAAACATTTTAATAACACGAAACAAAATATTTTGCAGGTGACTGTAGCAGGAAAGGCCGTCCTGATAACGGGATGCGATTCGCGCATCGGATGCGCACTGGCGCGCCACCTAGACGAGCAAGGATTCACCGTGTTCGCAGGATTCCAGGATCTGGCAAACAGCGCGCACGCCGACGAACTTAAGGAAGAGTGTTCGGGCAGATTGCACGTGCTGCAGTTAGATGTCTCCTCCGAGACCGAAATATTGTCGGCCTCCCTCTACGCCGTCGAGCATTTGCCCGACGGGGCGCCGGGACTCTGGGCCGTCATACACGCCGCATCGTGGGTGGCCCTGGGAGAGATCGAGTGGATACCGCCACAGGTAATTAAAAAAAAACGATAATTTTTTTGTAAAGTACACTCACAGGCAAAATAATCGATCCACATAAATTTTCGATGAATTTCAATCGCAAATAACTTTTTTATTTGATTTCGGATTTAAACAAATATTAAAGAATATTGTAGGTAGATACATTAATGGAGAATCGCTCACATTTTAAAAATTACTAGAGATGGGAAAATTCCCATTTGACGAAAATTCCCGGAAACTTTACATCGAAAAATCCCGAAATTTTCCGAAAGTTTAAAAAAAAAATTTTATTGCGAAAATATTTTTTTTTATGCCAGGGATTTGCAAAAATATATAACACATTAACTTTTTGTCAAATTTTATTAAGAAAAAAAATAAAAAGAAATGTTTATAAGAATGTAACTGCAATACTATTTTTAGTATCTTTTACTTTGGAATATTCCTATTGTATACTGAAACCTACAAAATAAAAATAAAATGTTCACTGCTAGTAGATATTACCCAAAAAAAAATTAAAAGGGATAAAGCAACTAATATATAGGAATATTGAAAAGTAAAAAGTAAAGTAAAAAATTATTCCAAACACTAGATTTTTTTCTTGGCATTGTGCTATGCCTATAAATAAACATTAAAAATGTAAGAATGATTTAACTTTGTTTATTGTTTTTATTTTGTTTACCTTTTTTTAAAAAAGTTTTTTGTGATGATGCTGAATAATCCGGCTTCATTGAGGTTATGTAACATAACTTACATTATTTATACTTCTTCTGCTTTAAATTAACACACATTAAATTCTTATTCAAAGTTTCTTGGCCTTATATCATAGCCTTAACGAAAATAAGCGGTTAAACAATTGACATTTAAATGAAAAAAACAAGGAAAGTTTCCAAGGAATGTTTCCGGTAGCTTAAAAGAAACTTTCAAAATGAAAATAAATTCCCAATTGGAAACTTTCCAAAACGGAAAGTTTCCTTAAAATGGAAAATTTCCGATTCCCATCTCTAAAAATTACTAAAAAATACACGTACGTTTATAATATACAGGTTTAAACAAAAATATGTTTTTTACCATAAGTTTAAGACACTCTGTAGAGTGGCAAAACCGTAAATTGTTCTAAAATAAGTTTTAATTATCAAGTCACATCTATTTTTAACAGTTTTGTTTTTGGTTTACCTCGATATATTTATTTTTGTGGAAAATATGGATTAAAAAAAAAAAACATTGCAATTTCCAATATTTTTCCTGTATAAAGAACTAAGGTTGCTATGGTCCATCCATAGCCTATGGAGGATGACAGTGACAGTTTTGTTGAATCATCCCATACTTGGACATGTCATATACAGCTTTCAAAAGCTATCAAATTGTTTTTTGTAAATTAATGTGTTAATTTTGAGGTGTCTTCTTACTTTTAAAAATGTCTCCGACTGATGTTGCCCTTTGTACTTTACTTCTTGTGACGTTTAAAACACTTGCCACGTAATACTGTGACCGTCCATCCTGGATTAAATTAATGGCTCTGGCAACATCAGTCGGAGATATACATTTTTTAAAGTAAGAAGACCTCAAAATTTAAACATTAATTTGCATACAACAATTTGATAGCTTTTGAAAGCCGTGTATGACATGTCCAAGTATGGGATGATTCAACAAAACTGTCACTGTCATTCTCCATAGCCTATGGATGAGCCATAGCAACCTTAGTTCTTCATACAGAAAAATATTGGAAATTGCAATGTTTTTTTTTTTAATCCATATTTTCCACAAAAATAAATATATTGGGGTGAACTAAAAACAAAACTGTTAAAAATAGATGTGACTTGATAAATAAAACTTAATTTAGAACAATATACTGTTTTGCCACTCTACAGACTGTCTTAAACTTATGGTAAAAAACATCCTTTTGTTTAAACCTGTATATTACAAACGTACGTCTATTTTTTAGTAATTTTTTAAAATGTGAGCGATTGTCCATTAATTTATCAACAATATTCTTTAATATTCGTTTAAATCCTACATCCATCAAATAAAAAAGTTATTTGCGATTGAAATTCATCGAAAATTTGTGTGGATCGAATATTTTGCCTGTGAGTGTATATCAAGAATATTATTTGGGATGACAAAAAAAATTGTTGTGAAATTTTGAGTCCATAATATTAATATTAAGAGCTAGGTCTATCATCCCAATTTTAGATTTTTTTGTCTCAGAACTCCCAAACCATTGAGTTTAACAAAATTGACTCACAAATATTTTTTGAAATAAATTGAATGCTCTACAAAAAAGGTCTGATTAAAATTTTCCTTCAGATGAACAGTTTTCTTATAATCATGCCTTAAAAATTGGTATAGTTTTACAATTTGATCTTTTGACTTTGAAATTTTGTAATTCATGTAAAAATTAGTACACAGTAAAAAAATGATATGTGGGCGTTTCTCTGTAAACTGGGCAACTTGAAGTAAGAAATTGTCTAGGCAAGTTTTTTTGTTATATTTTTGTTGTATTTAATAAATGTTATTCGAGGAATAAATATCGGTCTATTTATTAGTATACGGCAGATGAACCAAAAATATTCCTAATACTTTGGAAAACATTGAGCATTTTCTGAAAAATCTATACAGGGGACTGTTTATAAAATCCGGAGACAATGTTTAGATGACTTTTTTAGAATTACAAAATAATAATTTTAAAAAATAAATAAGTCACAGTAACAAGCAAACAATATTGGTTGAATAATTAAACAATTAGGTTGATTCCAATAGTTACTGTCTTTAATTAATTTAGTCTGAAGTGACCATTTTGCTTTGGTGACACGTCAGGGGACTGGTTTTTAAGGACTATAAAAACGATTTTGATACATTAAAGTTTATTTTATTGGATTTTGAACGTCGAGCATAGGTAGATTAGGTTATTATCTTTTGAAGTTATCTACGAAATATTTATGATCTGTTATTTTTCTAAACAATATTAGCTTGAGACAATGAGTTGCCCAGTTTACAGAGAAACGCCCATGTATATTTAATATATTTCTTGTGTCCCAGAAAGACTACTCAATTTTTTTAGTTTTTTTGATTTTTATTACTTATGTTAATTTTGACAATACCCACCCAAATGATAAGGGGGAGAGGGGGTTTACTTGATATAAAATGTACCCTCGAAAGTGTGTCGTTACATATCACTTTTAGAAATCCAAAAGCATCGTTGACTATAGTTAATGATATATGCCAATATAGGACCAACCTCGGATAAACATTAAATTATCATTGTATGCCAATATAGGGATAACATCGGCTAAATAAATCCAATATTGGCCCCAGATAAAATATTGGGCATAGGCGCCCCCATATAGGATTAATATTTTGTGCTACTGGTAACTTTTTATAATAATCATTATTATTATAATTTGTTTGAAACAAATACAGATACTATATTAAATATTATACGAAGTTTTTATTACATCTCTAGATTGGCTCAAAAATCTCTAAAACTAGTTAAACTCCACTGAACCTGGTAAATATTTAAATATTCGAATATTTGAATATTCCATTATGTACTCGATATTCGAATATTTGAATATACGAGTAGGTACACGAATATTCGAATACCCGAATATTCGAATACTTGAATATTCGAATAATTCGGATATTCGAATAATTTGAATATTCGAAATAATTTTCAAACGAGTATTGAATATACGAGTAGGTACACGAATATTCGAATACCCGAATATTCGAATACTCGAATATTCGAATAATTCGAATATTCGAATAATTTGAATATTCAAAATAATTTTCAAACGAATTTCTAAAACTAAACTTAACCCACTTGTCGAATAATGATGGCATCTTGGATGTGCTAATTATATTAACCTGAATACGACACTAGTACCTATAATAGTGGCGCGTAATGTCGTAATTTGGTTTTAAATCTAAAATGCCTTTTAATGTATTGCCATCGAACAGTTTGTCTCGATGGCATCGAAACAAACTGCTCTTGAGAAGCTAGCACACAGGAATATAATAAAGCAGATTAAAGTATTAGCTGTAAAAAGTACTTACAGTCTTAGCAGTTTCCTCCATAAATTTGCTTCCTTAAAATATACTTTTTAGGAACCCTTAAAACCAATATACTGCCATTATGTTATCACAAAGGTTAATTGTTCTTAGAACCATATTAGCCTTATGATAAGGCTAATATGGTTCTAAGAACAATTAACCTTTGTGATAACTTCCATAAACCCAAACATCTTTTCAAAGAGTGTGATAAAGCTTTGATATAATATTTAGGTAAAAGCGAAGAGTCAAATGTGTTACTTGGGCAATCAGAGAACGCCACATTCTCTAACTAATTTAAAGACAAAACTGTTTTTGCCTTAAAATTAGATTATTCTAAACATAATTCCAGGTAATCAAGAAGGCGACCGAAATCAACCTGTTGGGCCCCACTCGCGTGACCCAGATCATGCTCCCCCTGTTGCGTCGCGCCCGCGGTCGCATCATCGTCCTGACATCAGGGCTGTCCAAAGTTGCGTCTCCCGTGAGAGGCATCCACTACGGAATCTTGGCGGCGCTGGAGTCGCAGGCCGAGTGCCTTCGCAAGGAGTTGAGGCCCAGGGGGGTGGATGTCGTCGTGGTGGCGGCAGGAGAGTATACTTCCGGAAGCTCATGGTTGACCGACGAAACGATTTTCGAGCAGGCGAAAGAGATGTGGGATTCTTTGGGATCCGAGCAGAGGACCTCGTACGGCAAGGACTACTTTGAGACAGCGCTAAGGAGCTTGGAGAAATACACCAAACCACAAGTAAGTCGCGACAACTGAATGATCCCAGAGAGCCATGTCAGGTTTAAACTTGGCCAAGAATTACACCTTGGAAGTTTTGCCAATAAATGTACAATATACACTGTTTAAAATATCTGCAGTGTAAAGAGTAATCCTAAAATGGTGTCAAATTCCAACACCAAGTGGTGTTAATATAAACACCATGAATTATGCTTCAAAATGTTATATACAGCAAACACCAAAACGGTGTTAATCTAAAAATATTTGAGAAGTGCACCTACACAGAAAAAAAGGAATTGTTCATTTAACTAAACTGCGCACTACTCAATGTGTCGCGACCAAAAAGTTCGTTCTTTTTCAAAACGACATAACTTTTTTGTTTCTTGAACGATTTAATTTTGGTTTGTGATGTCTGCCAGCCTCATCCTCTGGCAATTCATGATATAGATATGAAGCTCAAGGTTCTTCAAGTAAATTTCCTACAGGGTGAAATGTTAAACGGTGAAAAATTTCAATAACTTCATCCAAGCCCCGTTTGTAAAATAAATATTTTTTCTCGTTTTTACTTTGATATAATGAAGTATTATGTCTTATCTTGAATTTTTTTTCCAAAAGAGTACATTTAAGGGTTTTTGTAGGCAATACACAATCAAGACATTTAACAGCCGGGAATTGTTTTCGAATTTTGATTCTTGGTGATTTTGATTTTATCTCAAACTTAAATTTGACAACTGAATCACAATCAGGAGGTCAAATTATAAAGAAAACATGTCACGAACGTAAATATCGGTTCAGGATTAGTTTTCGGAAATTTTCACTAGTAATACCACTAGAGGTCAAATTATTTCCGGAAATTTTTTCGAGCTCATGAATATTTTGAAAATTATTCCGAGTCGAAGACGAGGGATAATTTTCTAAAAATATTCATGAGGGAGAAAAAATTTCCGGATTTAATTTGACCTCGTGTGGTATTCGGTAAGAAAATTCCACACCAAATTTTGTTTAAATAATTAAAATTTATTTTTTGATTTAACTTGACCTCGACTTGATTATTTAGTTACCATGGCAACTAAGTCAACCCCAACCTAAAAGTTATTTCAGTTTTGAAGCTGTCAAGCGGCACGACGTAAAAAAATGTGAAATTGTCTGCTGTAATGATCAATCCATAGATAATAAATCATATAGATACGCCACTGTCACATATTTGACGCTCCTTGTTACGCACACTCGGCCCGCTATGCCGCTAGTGTACCCGCCTGACATTTATTGGTTTTAGGTTATGGTTTTAATTTAGGTTATCCTGTCAAATTTTGACATATCCTGTCAAATTTTGATAGACAAAATAGTAAGAAATAAAAGGCCTGATAGTTTATTTAAATTGTTTATTTGAAAAGCAAAAATAAATTATAATATTTTAAATTATTTAAGGTATTTACTAAACTACACTAATTAACAATATAATAATGTATTCAAGTGAATTTTATCTTATTAAAGAACACAAATTAGTATAAAGTAATAGATAATATTATGTACCATGTACTTACACAAATGTGCACATTTTTGTAAGTACCTTGTTTTAATAAAATAGTTAAAATTGAATAATACAATACAACCTTGTCATCATTGTGAAAAGTATGCATCATAACTTGACTGTTAGAGCAGCCCACAGCACAGCACAACACCATGTTAATGTTCAAATAATATTATATGTAGCAATATTTAAAAATAGAGTACACACATAACGATAAATCGCAATTTTAAAAGTTTTTAAGTGTACAGAATAAACCAAATAAACACAATATGAATTTACAAAACTTTACAAAATTTATCAACCTGAAGTTTGTTGATTTCGTTACCAAGCAACCGTCAAGATTAACCGCCGCTCCTGCCACATGTTTCCCGAGTGTAAACTAAAACCAAAGTCGACTAGACAAAAATGTGGATTTTGTTTGTTTAAGGCGAGTGCACAGGGCATGGATCAATCATCGTGCAATGACTTATTTACCCGCATTATTAGAGGATTGTGGCTCCTACTTAAAGAAAGAAAATTTGTTTTGAATTGTTCACGAATATTTACATCTTAACTATTCAAAACTCAAAGTGCTAAATGGAAAAAAAGGTGAATAGAATAGTGTCTAAATATTATATATATTTCATTAGACATAGACATTTAATTTATTTCAAGTCCTGCATTTTCGCCATTAAGAAGAAAGGAGGTGTCCAACGAATATAGAAAACATCTAAACTTTGTAATGGAAATGTATCAAAATTATCATGTAAACAAATAAAAACCAGATTGTCAAACAAATATTCTGTCATTATAAACGTCAAAAAATTTCCAGTATAATTCGCTGTTGGGTACCCTCGAGGAAAAAATTTCCACTAAAATTCAACCGTTGCCATGGTGATCTATCAAAAATACACGTTTTGATTGGTTAAAAATTACAGGTGTGGAATTTTCAACAAAAAGTGGTGCTTAGGCCCCTCTGAAAATAATGGAAGTTTGTTGCTTGTCGCTTGTTCAGAATTATTCAAGGAACAATCTTTCACCATTTTATCTTATTGTTCTTAAAAAGACTAAGTGTATTATTGCCTACCAAAAACCCTTAAATGTACTCTTTTGTAAAAAAAAACATATTTTCGTTGTTAAGATTCCAATTCGAAAAATTTGAAAACCTTTTCAAGGTATGACATAATACTTCATTATTTCAAAGTAAAATCGAGAAAAAAAATTCTTTTTTCAAACGGGGCTTGGATGAAGTTATTGAAATTTTTCACCGTTTTACATATCACCCTGTACGAAATTTACTTGAAGAATCGTGATCTTCATATCCATAGCATGAATTGCCAGAGGATGGGGCTAGCAGACATCACAGACCAAAATAAAATCGTTTAAGAAATAAAAAAGTTATGTCGTTTTGAAAAAGGACGAATTTTTTGGTCGCGACACATTGAGTGGTGCGCAGTTTATATTAATTTAGTTGACCCATAAGTATTTATTTAAATCAACTGTGGGAAGGTTAATATAAACAAAGATTAGTTTGACGGTTCTAAACCAGATAGTTATTATATTTTTTTTAAATTGGTTAAATTAACCCAAAAAACTTAAGTTAAACCAACGCTGTATGGTCCAGTTTACTAAATATGTTTTTTATAAAATAAGAGTTACTTCAACCCTAAGCAATCTGTTAAAACGATTAAAACAATTTGCCGTGCATTCTTGGTTGCATAGTATGTAGGTACCGATCGCGGCAAAGGCGTGTGGATCACGTGATGTCCTTACATCTCGCCTCTGTTGGCTTAGTTGGACAGTATATAAGCTCAGGTAGTTCTTTGTTTTGCTTGTTCAAAAAGTTGTCCGACACTGATGTCTGTCTGTATTTGAAGTTCAATTCTCTTGAATAATACCAGTAATGGGTCAAGGAAGTTTCTTGAAGAAACTAAGAAAATTAAATAATTCGCTTTAACAAAAATGTTTCTACCCAAAATATTTCAATATTTTATTTTAATTGTTAGGTATATATGTAAATCCACCAAACGCCATGGGTAAGTTCAACTTACTAAATTATATTGAGTCATTTCAACCAATGGTTTTAGTATATGGAACTGGCAAGTAAAGGTAAATTCAACTATACATTGGTTTAATCAAATATTTAGATGTAAAACATAACTAAATGCAATTTTAAAATAACCTAGGTTAGCTAATGTTTAGTTGGCTCTATTGAAACAACAAATTTAGTTAAATGCAACCAATATTAGTTAGGGTAACTAAACCTTATTTTTCTGTGTAGATCTTTAAACCCAATAAATCCTCTTTTTCCTCTGTGACATATATTCAAAACTCAAAGTGCTAAATGGAAAAAAAGGTGAATAGAATAGTGTCTAAATATTATATATATTTCATTAGACATAGACATTTAATTTATTTCAAGTCCTGCATTTTCGCCATTAAGAAGAAAGGAGGTGTCCAACGAATATAGAAAACATCTAAACTTTGTAATGGAAATGTATCAAAATTATCATGTAAACAAATAAAAACCAGATTGTCAAACAAATATTCTGTCATTATAAACGTCAAAAAATTTCCAGTATAATTCGCTGTTGGGTACCCACGAGGAAAAAATTTCCACTAAAATTCAACCGTTGCCATGGTGATCTATCAAAAATACACGTTTTGATTGGTTAAAAATTACAGGTGTGGAATTTTCAACAAAAAGTGGTGCTTAGGCCCCTCTGAAAATAATGGAAGTTTGTTGCTTGTCGCTTGTTCAGAATTATTCAAGGAACAATCTTTCACCATTTTATCTTATTGTTCTTAAAAAGACTAAGTGTATTATTGCCTACCAAAAACCCTTAAATGTACTCTTTTGTAAAAAAAAACATATTTTCGTTGTTAAGATTCCAATTCGAAAAATTTGAAAACCTTTTCAAGGTATGACATAATACTTCATTATTTCAAAGTAAAATCGAGAAAAAAAATTCTTTTTTCAAACGGGGCTTGGATGAAGTTATTGAAATTTTTCACCGTTTTACATATCACCCTGTACGAAATTTACTTGAAGAATCGTGATCTTCATATCCATAGCATGAATTGCCAGAGGATGGGGCTAGCAGACATCACAGACCAAAATAAAATCGTTTAAGAAATAAAAAAGTTATGTCGTTTTGAAAAAGGACGAATTTTTTGGTCGCGACACATTGAGTGGTGCGCAGTTTATATTAATTTAGTTGACCCATAAGTATTTATTTAAATCAACTGTGGGAAGGTTAATATAAACAAAGATTAGTTTGACGGTTCTAAACCAGATAGTTATTATATTTTTTTTAAATTGGTTAAATTAACCCAAAAAACTTAAGTTAAACCAACGCTGTATGGTCCAGTTTACTAAATATGTTTTTTATAAAATAAGAGTTACTTCAACCCTAAGCAATCTGTTAAAACGATTAAAACAATTTGCCGTGCATTCTTGGTTGCATAGTATGTAGGTACCGATCGCGGCAAAGGCGTGTGGATCACGTGATGTCCTTACATCTCGCCTCTGTTGGCTTAGTTGGACAGTATATAAGCTCAGGTAGTTCTTTGTTTTGCTTGTTCAAAAAGTTGTCCGACACTGATGTCTGTCTGTATTTGAAGTTCAATTCTCTTGAATAATACCAGTAATGGGTCAAGGAAGTTTCTTGAAGAAACTAAGAAAATTAAATAATTCGCTTTAACAAAAATGTTTCTACCCAAAATATTTCAATATTTTATTTTAATTGTTAGGTATATATGTAAATCCACCAAACGCCATGGGTAAGTTCAACTTACTAAATTATATTGAGTCATTTCAACCAATGGTTTTAGTATATGGAACTGGCAAGTAAAGGTAAATTCAACTATACATTGGTTTAATCAAATATTTAGATGTAAAACATAACTAAATGCAATTTTAAAATAACCTAGGTTAGCTAATGTTTAGTTGGCTCTATTGAAACAACAAATTTAGTTAAATGCAACCAATATTAGTTAGGGTAACTAAACCTTATTTTTCTGTGTAGATCTTTAAACCCAATAAATCCTCTTTTTCCTCTGTGACATATAGGTAGAACATTTATTTTTAAATTGTTTTGCTTGTAGTAAAAGCATTGTACACATAAACACTATTTACCTTTAAAAATGCAACCTTCACTGCAACTTTATGCAACGAGATAAAAATCTGTAACAATGAACAAAAAAAGTACATTATATAGAATTACCAAAGTAAATTTATATTACTTTAAAATTAACGAGGGAATAACAATCTTCAAAAAGTAAGAAATTGTTTAATAATTGAATTATTTATAAAAAAAACTTGAAAACATAACCCTAATTACTTACTCAAAATTTAAAGCCCTTTATAATTTAACACACGTTTAGTTAGCACGGATGATTATATTTTTTTGTAATAACTTTCACACAAACACTTTTTTACGCCTTTTTGTAGAGGTCTTGAAATATTAATTTACTTTTTACGACGTACCTAAAACTCGCTATTGCGCATAGTAAACTGATTCTTTTTTCCATGATGATCCATTGAGGAGCATCGGTGCAAAACTGGCTAAATCCATTTTATTGATTTTTGATTTCGCATCTTTCGGTTCATTTCTATCGACAACCAAGATAATTCTGTTTAAATCCGACTATATCCATGTTAAAATCACATTTAAAAGGTAGCTTTAGGAGCAAAACCGGCCAAATCCACGTTTTTATAGCAAACCCGGCTATATCCAATAAATAATAATATGTGGCTTGGATATGTCGATACTACTACTAAAATTTGTTCTGTTTTTTCCATTTTTGCACTAAATTTATTTTGTTAATATTTTTGAATAATAAAGGTTTTTTTCACATTTTATTCATTTTTTATTCCGTTTTCGAGCAAAACCGGCTATATACAAAACATTTTTTGAAATTTTGGCCTTAATATAAAGTTTTTGAAAACGAAAGTATGTCTTATAAATCAAGTACCACAAAGCCCACAAAACTCAAGTTTGCTTTTTCTTTTATCTGTAAAGGCCAGGAAACCGAGAGTTTTTGCCATTTTCCCAACATTTTATTAAAGTGGATATAGCCGGTTTTGCACGGATGCTCCTCAATTATTTGCCAAGTTATGATACCTCTGCATTACAAACGCTTTTCCAATTTTCGACCAAACTTCATTTCAAACGAAGTTGGCCAAAAATAACTCTACTTTAGTCTTTATTTTCATGCAGATTTTGTGCTATCGCGTTGGGAAATGATTGGCATAAAATATGTCAATTTTTGGTCAAACTTAATGAAAATACAATTTATGTCCAAATAAACCCCAATAAATGTAAAATATCGTACACCATACTTGATTGGGAAAAATTTTACTAATTTCTTCACCCATGGTTCTCTGGGATGTACCTCTATTTTATTTTAACATCTTATTTGCACAAAAGATAAAAGCAATAAAACTTGCTATAAAATGATTTAACTGCTACTAATTGCATAATTTCTTCTAGGAATTTGATCTAACCCATGTACTCAGATCTCTAAACGATGCCACAATAAGAACTTTTCCCTTACCGAGATACACTCCTGTTAGCAGAAAAGAAAAACTACAAGCATTTATTGCTGATCATTTACCACGTGCTGTTTATGATATCATCTATTCTTAAGTATTATGTTATTAACCGTTTTTTTTAATATCATTGTTTGATACCATCAATTAAAGCAAAAGACGTCAGTCCACCATTTTTTTGTTACATCTATATAAAACCACAATCTGCTACGTAAATACTAGTTTTTTATAGCATAGTTTGTACACATATATCGTTGTGTGAGATTTGTATAAATAAATTGTATAGATAAAAAGTATTTTATTCAAACTATATATTCAAGTAACAAAGATTCATCTTCCTCCAAATCTTGTCCTAATTGTCTTCCCACGACTTCATCAAACTTACTTCCATCAATTCCCTGTGGTTCAGCTACTTTCACGTTTAAATCATCGGCTGTTAAAACATGACCAGCTGGTAGAGATTTATTTAAGACGATACTTTTTCCGAGCTTTTCGTAACATGGAGCTTCAGATTTCTGAAATTCTTTTACAGGTTTTCCCATCGCTTCCTCAAGAGTTCTAATATTGTACACCAGTTGTTTCATTTCTTCTGGTAGGAGGGAACATTTGTGGTCCGAACCTTTCTGGTTTTTATTCAAAGTAAAGTGCCTTTCTACGACCTACAAAATGCATGTTTTGCAAATATTTATATGATTCTAAACAGCAAGGTATCAATCATAAAACTGTCAAATCCTAAACAAATTTGAGGTATTTTATTCAGAATGATATCAGTGTCAATCCATGTCAAATCAAACACAATAATGGAAAAAGGTCTTTGTTTTTTTAATTTTGTGTAAAGTTCATTTTTTTATCTGGACTGCGGCAACTTTGCAAATTTAGGGTTTTAGTTTGTAAATACAGTTATCAATTTGGTCGCATTGATTAAAACAAACTAAGCTAGTTATAAATCTAATTGTGGTTATGTATAAATTATTGTAGGTTACATTGTGCAGTTGTCAAGTTGAGTTGTCGAAATTCGTAGTTAAAATGCAATTAATTTGGCTTTGGTGGTGCTTGGATAAGTAAAATCATATAAAAAAGTAGTTAAATATAGGTTGCTTTACGGCCCAAAAGAGAAAGTATTCCTAGCGGATAATAATCTTCGCTTTGAAAAGAATTTATATAAAAAATTTTTGTGAACGTAAATGTTGTCCAATGGTGAATAATGTAAAAATAATGTGTGATGTAATATTTATACAACCAAATTCGTTACTTTTTTGGCCGTTGCTAGTCGTCCGTATAATCGGACGAATAAAATATATTAATCATCCGATTGCTAGTCATCCGTATAATCGGACGAATAAAATATATTAATCGTCCGTATAATCGGACGAATAAAATATATTAATCGTCCGATTGCTAGTCGTCCGTATAATCGGACGAATAAAATATATTAATCGTCCGATTATCGGATGAATAAAATATATTAATCGTCCGGTAATAACATAAATAAATAATAAAAAGATTATCGGACTCAAACTCAACAACACAACCCAACCGAACCCGCCCCATTGGCCCCCCCCGCCCCATTGAACAAAAAACCCAACTAAAATGGGCAAATTTATGTTACGATAAAAATAAAACACTTTTTAACAAAGCAACAACAAATTTATGAAATAAAAAAAGTTCGACAACTTCTAGTAGATTTTATGTTACGATAAAACTAAAACAAACCAACCAACCCAACCCAACCGAACACTGTTTAACAAAGAAACAACAAATTTATGAAATAAAAAAAATAAAAAAAATTCGACAGCTTTTTAGTATCGAACCCGGGACCTCTCGCATGACAAGCGAACGCAAAATCAAAATCAAAATCAAAATCAATATATTTTTAAATTAAATAATTACAGATCATAAAAAAGGTAAAATAGTAAAGGCCGCAATGTGGTGATGTGGTTGGCTGTAAAGAGGCGCGTGGAAGTGTGGTTCCAACTCTTGAGCCTCCCTGCGGTGAAGATGCGTGGTACGGGTGGTAGCAGCGCAGTCTTCCGACGGTCTTTGTCCCTTGTATTAGCCCTTTTTATTAGCATGGAGCTTGTCTGGCCTTTTCTCGCAGAGCGAATGTGAGGCCAGCTTGATCCGGGTAGAAGAATAAAGTCTAGAAAAATTTACGGAAAAAAGAATGGTGATGTTAAAAAGTTAAAAGAATGATTTCGAGGGAAAAATAATTGAAAAACCCTCTTAAAAAATTTGGAAAAATACATAAAAGAACGCCCTACCATATAAGCTATCTAGCTTGTTGTCAAATATTAAACGGTCGGTGAACAAAAGCGGATTATAATTATGACGTAACTAACGTTATGTTATTACCGGACGATTAATATATTTTATTCATCCGATGATCGGACGATTAATATATTTTATTCATCCGATGATCGGACGATTAATATATTTTATTCATCCGATGATCGGACGATTAGACAAGTCGTACTTTTTTACTCCAAAAATGTCCATAAGGCGATCTACTTTTTCTTCCATTGTGGCATTTGGAATAATCATAGACAAGGGATTGGTTGGGTGGGCATAATATCATTTATTCATCATCATTTATTTAAGGCTTGTCATAGCAAAACCGACAATCTCCACTTTTGGTAAAAAAATTAGATTTTTGGCGGAGACTATACTTCAACTAATTATCTATAAGATGATAAAGTTTATGTGCTGTAAAAGGAGCTAAATCCTGCCTAAAATCCTATTTTAAAAATGACATTTAGTGCAAAGTCGACAATCTCCACTGATAGATTTGCAGCAAAGTATATATACTTTACCTATTTTAAATATATTTTTTAAGTGCAATTTACTGCAATAGAACTTAACAGTATGTACAAGTAAAAAAACACAAAAATAAATCTCTAAAATACGTTATAAAATCAAATATTAGGATATCAGGTGACACAAATTACTAATTTCTAATGGTGGAATTGGAGATTGTATACAATTATTGTTTTAAGAATTATAAAAAAAGTTATCTTGTTTATTTTGTGCTATTATACCATAATAAGACAAAAAGGTAAAGCAAGAAAAGGCTGATAATGTCAAAACATTGCAAGTAAAACATTAGGGGGCAAAGTGGGAAGGAGATGATGAGTTGTACTATAAAATTTTTTTGCACGTGGCAACCTGGTCCCAGATTTAGAAGAAACTCCAGATTTATGTGGTCCAGTTCAGAATTTTCCCACATTGATTAAATAGTTAAATTGTATAACCATTAAAGGGAGAAAAATACAATTATTTTTTTGTTTATTTTTCTAAATCTCCTTAAACGTTTACAAAAAAAAGGGAAATCTCCAGCAATTCATATCAAAGTCAGCAATCTCCAATTTATAATTATAGATTTCACCTATACTATGCATCCTGGAGACCTTGTAGTTGGCTACTAGACTAACAACAACAATATTTCAATATAATATATAAACAAAATTACAAATCTAGAATTTAAAATAGCAAAATCAATTATCTCAATTTACTCAGTTTTAGTCTGACGGGAGATTGTTGACTTTGCTCTGACAGGCCTCATTTATAATTGACAAGTAAATTATCAATAATTAATAATATTGTCAATTTGACAGTGTCAAAGTATTTAATTAAATTCTTTAGCAGAAGTACCATTTTTAAATACTAAAAAGTCAAACTGGCATAAGCCACCAACTTAACAAAAAAACACGAGTCCAGATAAAAAATGAACTGTATATTATAAATATAAGCTAGGATAACCAAAAATTTGACCTTGAAATTAAATATTTTTAGAAAGTTTATGAACATTTCTTCGATAAACAGCTTTTAATTAAATCAAAACCCCATTAAAAAGTGTTTTAATAAAAAAAAATACTATAAATTTTCCACTTTTAATAATTAATATCTACTGAACTTTCAGCCCAAAAGGTATAATTGCATATTGCACAACCGATCTCTTTTACTGTCTAGGTTCAAACGTATGAAAAAACTTTTTTCAAAAAAATATGGAACTTTATGAAGAATATTTTGAAAATAGAATCTGGTTTATAATTGAAACATGAATAGATCATGTAACGGCCGTAAATAGAATAGACATGTGACCTATTTTTGAGTGAATAAACTCAATTTATTAATTATAAATAATATACCTTGGCACCTATTGCGACGGCAGCTAATGTTATGTGTACACCGAGTTCGTGCCCTGAATATCCAATATTAATATCGTTAAATGTTTTTTGATACAACTTCAAAACGTTCAAATTGATTTCGTTGTAGGGTGCAGGGTAGCTGGAAAGGCAGTGTAGAAGAACGAAGTTTTTGTGGTAATTCGAAACTATGTCGAAAATTTTCTGCACTGTATCAAAATTTTGCATCCCTAAAAACATGAAACAAATATGTATTTATGTGTGTTAAACGAAAATAAAGTTTCAGCCCTTCAGAAATCGACTGATACCTTGAATAATTAAACATCAACGATACCCACCTGTAGAAATTAACAAAGGAATTTTACTTTGCGCCGCTTTTTCAATTAGCCGGAAGTTATTAGCATCCCCCGAGCCAATTTTAATTACAGGAACTCTGATGGATATTAAAAATTCAAGCGATCGAACATCCATGGCCGATGCCGTAAAAATTAGTCCCAAGTCTTTCGCGAAGCTTTGAAGTGTAAGAAATTCCTCATCGGAAAATTCCAAATGTTTTTTGTGCTCGCCGTAGGTTTTTCCCCACGAATTTTCGCTTGTGTACGGTTTTTCCAAAGCTTTTTTGTTAAATTTTTGGCTGATGCAAGTTTTTTGGAATTTTACACAGTCCACTCCAGACTCCTAAAATATTAATTGTTTTTCATTTGGATGTTAAGTTTTAGTATTTGGGTTATTTTTAATTTTTTTCTGCATTTGCTGTCCCTCAACTTTAATATTTTATAAAAAATTGAGTTTAACGCCATTTGGAACTTTACTAAGCGAAATCAATTGGTTTAAGTGTTTTTAGCAACTATACAAGGTATCCCTTAACTTATTGGCATAAATTTAGGAGCAGATTAAGCAAGTCAAAATAAGACGAAAATATAAATAAATATTTTTCCTAATTACTTATGTTTCCAAGATACAGGGTGATAAAGTGTTACCTATCATATCAGTTTTTTTTAATATAACTTATACTATGGTAGTCTTGGAAACGTGATATTTTGCGAACAGTCACTTACTACCAAAACACATATTCACACATAATTACAATTGTTTGCGTGAACACAGTGTCGTAGAAACGGGGGTTGCTTTAAGCTTTTTGTCCCATA